TTGGAAGCGCGGTGTGGCAGGGTCGCGGAAGAGGTGTATGAAAGTATCGTTGTGGGCCTTCGTAGAAATAACACTAGAACAGAAGTAACCAACTCTATTTAGAAACGTTGGCTTCTATGGGTTTGCCAAACTACAGAAGACTTCGCGTCTCTCACGTGCGCCTCTAACGATGTAAAACAGAACTGCAGTCAACAGTTTCAAAGCCTGATTATTCCAGTGAGATAAGTTCTCGTTTCCTGCTTCTCCCTGCACTCGATCGATCAAAATGATTATTGGCGTCTGTTTCATTCCAACAGCCTGAACTGGGGCCAGAATTTCACTATGATTTCAATCATGCATATGGATTTGATTGCACACAATTCCTGTTTTTCAGGCGAACGAAATCCATAGAAAACAAGAAATCGGAGATCTCATGCCTACATGAGAATATTTACAGCCTTTGCATTGGGGGGGGGGCTGACCTATTTCAGGCCAAAGGTGCTACTGTATTAGCTTTTTGAAAACAAAAACCTGTTTTATTTTGTTCTGTACTGTAGTGTACTGTGCAAAAACATTTACAAAAACTCATATATTTCATGGAGGTTTGAGATCTCCGAATTCTTGTTTACATAAGTAACATTTAAATGTGTCTAACCTACCTACATGCCAAAATCTTGAAAATACATTGTTCCTTTCTTGATTTATCTGCCTTGAAAGATGTCCCCTGCAGTTCCAGAACAAGCTGCTAGGGGAACCAAGCCCACACAATGCACTTGTTCCTGGCATGTAAAGCTATCAGTCAACAGCTATCAAGGTTATAGCATGTCCAGGAGAAATGATACAAAAAAACTGTTCTAATGCAGCACAACGGACAGCCACCAGGAGACCCAAATTTGACTTTGACCTTCGTCTTTCTACGACCGACCCACATACCAACTATCATCACAGTTCGTTAAGTTATGCTGACCACAAGTACGCGGAAACACACACACACACACACACACATGATACACACACATACAGACACAGAGACACACACAGACACACACAGACACAGACACACACCACACACACACATACAGACACAGAGACACACACACACACATGATACACACACATACAGACACACACACACACACACACACACACACACATGATACACACACATACACACACACACACACACACACACATGATACACACACATACAGACACAGAGACACACACACAGAGCGAGAGAGAGGCTCTTGAGGACACTACATGAAGCGCAATCATAACAACAAAACAAACGCATAATATTTTCTAATTCTTTATCATCACAATGATGGACACACTCCTGAGTTTATAGAAAACTTGAAATTGACATTATAAACATAAAAACTTGAAACTGACATTATAAAATGAAAACAAAACTAATGGAGCGTAAGCAAGGAACAGTTCCAGAACAGTTTAGTAACAAAATGACCTCTCGTTTGCAGGAGAAACATCTATTATAACTTCTTGCAAAATTGGAAACTTGTGTGCATTCTATCCAAGACTTCGGTGGCCATGCATTCTTTTACCCAATATTAAAGAAATCACATCCTTTTTGGTACGTGTATCACTAGATCTAACTTAGTTCTCACACAGTAACATGGCAGTCAAAGCATATTGCGGCAAGTTTAAATGACCTGGACACGCGGTGGTCTAGCCATTTACATCCAGAAGTCTACTGATACCTAGTTTCCAATGTATGTAGCATGTAGCAGGTAACGTTTAAGCACTTAAAATACGCAGTGTTCATAATCACATCAAAACGTTTTTTTTTTCATCTACAATCGAAAGATGTGGCGGCTGCAACTGTTTTCGCCGTTCTTTGGTCAGACGCTGTCCGGGGTTAGGCGATGTTCTCCCCACCACTAACATTCCTGATCAGGATGACAGAGAACACAATGCCGACCAACTGAAGACAAAAGAGAAGAAAAGGCATCAATACATAAACTTCAAGTCAGTTTCAACCAATACATTATATAATGAACTATTTACTTAACAAAATGTAATCTATTTAGATAAAAAAAACATGATACCACGCCAATAAGTCTGCTGTTCATTTGGCGTTGTAAGATTAATCATGTCATGTCATTCTAATGATATTGCCGCTTCGGCCCGAATGGATTTTCGTATTCTTAATCTATTCCGTCCTTGTTCTTTTCTAGTAATTTATCGCCAGTGGCAGTGCTTCCCAGTAAGCCACAATACATGTACACATGCTTTTCAAAAGATGATATCAAACCTATGCTCAGCCATCAGAGTGACCTTTAACCTACCTGGATGAAGGCGATGGCGAGCCCCACCCCTCCGATGACGATGATGTTTTTCTTTAGGTAGATTTCAAATTCAAACAGGCACGGCTAGAGGCAAGAGAGTACAGAAATATACTTCATGTGTTGCCTGAGGTATTACATGTTTCCTGCACAAATTGTTAAAGGCATCCAATGGAATTTCAGGGCAGCAGAACTGGAAATATTCTGAATAAGGCAATCTTTGTGATACTGACAAATACTGCCCCACATTGGCACGTTTGATTCAGTATTACATACTTGGGGCTTTTAAAACTGCAGAAGCAAGCCCGAAGATGAGTCCTTAATTTTCTGGGTGGGACCCTAAAAATCAGCCCGGGGCCCTTCCAGTAACCATTTTCTACCAGAATTTTGGGGATGTTTGCTCCATGGTGGTCAATATACACTGGGATAGTGTTGTTTCAACTCAGTATGTAGATAAATGACTAGAATATTGACTTTGGAAAATTTAGTTTCCAAGCCCTAAAAACTGCACTGGATGCCAAGCCCTAAAAACTGCACTGCATTATGCTATGCTATATTAGAACGATACAAAAAGTCAAATTTCTTTCTCTAAAAAGTGAATTGGATCAACCCTACTCCATTGCAAATAAATATTATTCAGGAAATAAACGTGCCGACATAAGACGCCTTACGAGTGTGTTTCAAAGCCGGCAGCCTTGTTTACTTACATTCTGGTATTTTGTGGTGGTGCCACAAAATGGGTGCGCCTCGTGTGAGCTGTCTTATCGCCAACCATTAATGTGAGAAATGTGAGTTCCACAAATGTGTTGAAAAGATGAAGAGTCGATCCAGGATATTTCGATTGATATATTTTAATTTCAGTGCAAAAATGTTCATAGTGCAACTTTGGAAACAATCATGGATTTTGAAAAAAAACTCGTGTCATGAAGCTGATGTTATGATAATTGTCATGTGTGACGTGTGACTTTCCCTTTAGCTAACACATAGCTGTGCACAAGGACGCACAGTTTTTTTTTTATTATTATTCCAACATGTAATCACCAGACGTGGTGACGACACACTCAAGTTTTATCAACTTATATTAATGGCGCCACCAACCCAGGGGACAAATACATGACAGGACAATACTCATTTCCACCTGAGCGAAGTGAGGAAAGTCGTGTAAAGTTCCCACCCCAAAATCACAAGATCGGTGGCATGTCAGGACTCGAACCCAAGGCCTCTAGGTTCCGAGTCGCGCACTCTGCCGCTACGCCACACGACGAACAGTTGGTACCGTCTGCCCCGTACTTACCCTGAAGATACTGCATGAACTCTGTGGAGTGGGGAAGTAACTCCTGCAGTATTGGTTGGCGATTTTGCAGAGGCACGTGTCTTGGTCACAGGGGTTTTGCCAGTCCGTGTTGTTGACGAGACCGCAGCACGAGTACTGCAAAATGAAATGTCACATTTTCACAAACTAAGCCGTCGACAATGGAACTATTTTATAAAAGGTCTATAGCTGTATTACGTATGCCAGTGCATAAGATCAAGTTCGATAATGGGCCTCCTAGCGTGTACCTATGGTACTGCAGTGGGGCCCAAATTTTCTGGAAGATTTTTAGTAGTAAAAAGCTCTTGGGGTGTAAGTTTGGGCTCCCTAGTGGCTTGCTCTGGAACTGCAGGGGTATTTGTTTTAAAATCTTTGAAGGAGAATAACTCAAAAACCGGTTGATGTATCGATATCGTCATGATCTTTGATATGTAGGTACCTCAAGTGATCTTTGAAATAATTAAATGGTATTTACGCAAATCAACATCTAATCTGCATAATTAATGAAATTTCTACAAACCAGCTGTGTTCCATGATAGGACTATGCCAAATACAGAACAAGAGGAACATGTAGCAGATATCAATTATGTAAATGAGGACCTAAATGGCATAATTAATGAGAAATTATTATTATTCCATAGCGGTAACTCCCAGGATTTTCATACTTGTTGCATTTGGAAACAAGAGTTCCACGATCTCATACCTTCGCCAAATGATGTTAACCCTTGCAGTTGACGAATTATACAATTTTAATAATTGATTTCGCAAATAAGAGCGTCATTTGCATGGATTACATCAGTTGATCATATTCTCCACCCAATGGCAGCCTTATCTTAACAAAATAGGCTATTCTAGCACTTCCTCATAAATTATGCAAATGAGGTCATAATGTGAATAAATTATCTTCATTGATGTTCACCTTCACTTCACTTCCAAATGCGGCAAGTATGAAATTCCCAGCAATTACAACTATGAAGTTATAACAATTTCCCATTAATTATGCAAATCAGGTCTTCATTTACATAATCTATATCCTCAGATGTTTTTCTAGTTCTCAATTACATGTCACAAGTGTTTCATAGTCCTATTATCGAACGAAGCAGATTTATAGAATTTCTTCATTAATTATACAAATTAGCTCCTGATTTGCATAATTGTCATCTGATTATGTCATGCATCACTTCAGCTACCTTCATACCAAAAATCATGACAATCCGTCAACCGGTTCTTGAGTTATCAAACTTCGGAGATTCAAGAAACGCTCCTGCAGTTCCAGAACAAACTGCTTGAATAGTTTTCTTTTTAAGATAAGACTGTCATTGGGTGGAAAATATTACCACTCGTACAAATGAGGATCTTATTTGTATAATCAATATAATGACAGACATCTACAAGTCACCAGCTGTTAAGTTCATTTGGCGAAGGTATGAGATCATGGAACTCTAGTTTTCTTCTTTTCTTAAACAATGTATTGTGATATGGGCTGCTATAAGATCTCAAGATAGCAGCTTGTTTTATTACAATGGAAACAAGACTTTTGAAAAAAGTTTATCTCGGCCGCTGGCCATGTAGTTTTGTGTTCTTGGAGGATGTCCACATAGATTTGTGTAACTGCTAGAGAGGAAAGAATGTATTACCTAGTATGTTCATACCTGTAACACCAAACAGGGTAATAAGTTGGCTTCCATTATCATTTGCTTCAATGGAATTAGTGAAAAATATTAATCTCGAAGCAGATGTTGGGAGGGAAAATGTTTAGGTAGAGATACAGATTTTCATTTGTGATTGAAGATTTGAGAGACAGGAAAGAGTTTAGGATATGTATGTGGAGCTAATTTCTCTGTTAGAGTAGGTTACACAGCTCTATGTATGGGGAAGACATTTTTTGGAATCAGTAGTGTCATGTTGTATATTACAGAGGAACTATGTTCCATCTGTATGTTTCATTGAAATTGTAATGTCTGGACAATACTGATGAATAAAGAGCAAAGATGCATGTGTCAAAAGTGAAATGTTTTATTTTGGTATAACTTCATGAGACAACACAAAATGGAGTGGCTACAATAACAGAGCTGTCAAACGTTATCAAGCTTAATGCACTAACATATTGTTAGGTTGTACGAATTCATAAATTTTCACGGGGGGGGCGTACGAATTCGTAACTCTGTTTAAATCTGTTCAACAGCACGAATAAAACACAATGTAATTGATTGCCCTTGCCCGTAGTATCTTTAGCTCTATTTTTATCCTATGGCTCTATGCCTAATACCCTTATAATTCCTGATATTTTGCTATTTTTGCTAAGTAAATACCTTACCAGCCTCATGCGTTACATCCGGGATCTTCGATATGGGAAATTCCATTCAGGCCACTAATCAAAAGCGACATCTTGCGACCGAGGAATATAGTGCACTTCCATAACCTTCGTCTTAACTTATTCAGATGTCTCAAGGTAATATTAAAACGTAATTTTTTAAACTTGGTTTATTGGTGCAATTGCAGCAGTTATTACCAAATCTTTATAACATTTAATGCATACTACTCTCATGTCCCTAATAAACATACCCCCCGGAATAAACATACCCCCCGGACAAATCTTCAAAGTCTAATATACATACCCTCCGGAATAAACGTACCCCCCGGAAAATGACCAAATTGACAGGTGAACGGTACTAAAATGTGCTCTTTATTTCAATACCAATGTATGGGCAAATTTTTCACTGTTACTTTTGATTAGGAATATAAATATACTGTACTAGTACTCAACAAACAGTGTCGACATTACAGCCATATTACACCACTAGCAATAGGGGTGGGTACCTGTTCGGCTCTTCCAGGTCCAGAGGATCAGGTTCAGGTCCGGACCTGTACCTGTACCTGTACCTGATTCTGAATACCGGAGTTTCAGTACCGAATTTTTTTTGCTAAATGATCATTGCTAAATACAATATAACGTTAAGTATATGTAACCACTACAATAATTTTCATTTTATTTTATTTTTTTTATTTTTATTTATTTTTTATTTATTTTCATTTTATTTTCTTATTCTGTTTTATTTTATTTCATTTAATTTTATTCTATTTTATCCGTTCTATGCATTATCAAACTTCTCCTCTACTGCTAGAGCTACTAAAACTTCAGACCGAATATATTAAACATTTTAATTCGCCCCCTCTAGCGGTTTGGGCCAAATTGCAGCTTTCCAAAAAAATCCAAGATGGCGCCGGCAGATCGGCGCGGCTCGGCGATTGCCGATTTCATTGTATTTTCCTTGGTCTTTTACGCGATTCAAGCAAAGAAAACAAGTTGACCACAAGAACAAAAGAGTAATACAGCACTGGGAATCTAATGGTCCGTTTTGTTGGGCGGTAATTTCTCAGTTCAAGTGAATATTTACGTGCGTCACAGTGATTTATTCACCAATCAAAAGCGACATCTTGCGACTTAGGCAAATATGGAAGGTTAATGTACATAATTTATGTCATTGATTTATTGGTCCAATTACAGCAGCTATTAGCGAAATTCTAGAACATTAAAGGCATACTATGATATAAAACAATGGTTTTGTGGTAAACAGCATTTCTTCTTTGTTGTATAAGAATAACGACACTATCATCCGGTAGGTCGACACCACAAAGTAAAGTATACATGCAGAGTAATTGGTTTCATTGGTTTTCACGGTCGAAATCAAGATTTATCCAGTCATCCAACGTACCTATTTTTGAGCACAATACCTCGGCCGCTAAGGCGGCCGAGATAAAAATGGCCATAAGTGGTTATTACTATATCATACGTGGTTATTACTATATCACACACCTGGTCCTGCAGAACCGTCACGAGCTCCCTGAAACTCTCACTCTTGGCATCAATCTTGCCCGTACCAAGCGCTTCAATGAAAGAGCTGCGCGTCCATTCCGTTACCTAGGTAACACACAAACATTGATTCAATTCTTCAATTTCAATTCAATTCTTTATTAGGATACCAAACATAACAAACATGACATACAATGTTGCCTGAATGGCGTTGATATTTACAAGATAAAATGCCCAAAATATTATACTAGTATATTTACAACAACTACAAAAATGACATCGACATTGAAATTTGTGGTTCACTCTAATATGACAATGCTAATGTGTGTTTTATCCAATATTTGTATTTTTTGGAAAGCAATACATCACGAAATAAACATGGAATGCTTCTTATTGCTCCATGATGAATTGATCAATTGAGAAATGTTTGAAAATGTATCCTTGGCTTGTAGATAAGCCAAGGACACGATATACAGCGTGTAATGGCGTTTGATGGACACGTGTTTTGCACACTCACCTGATCACGGTAAACAACTCCCAGGATCCCCGCTATCAGCTCGATGAGGAACAGTACTCCCAAAATACCCGCAAACTGGAGGGACACAAGACGTTCCAAACTTTAATGGTCTTTACATACGTTTCAACGCATTGACCCATATCATCACACGAATCGTAACAAACTCCCGTAACGGTTGCAATCGTACATACATAGTTACTGTAACTAATGGGCTTTTATAGAGCAGTGTTCAATACATGAGAAACGGATACAAACCGTGTATGTTATTGACACTCGCCAAGCAACGTACTATGTTACACAAATGCTAGTATTATGAACCCCACATTAGTCCTACTTAACTTCGGAAGGTTCTCCTTGAGGTTTGATAACGGATTTGAGCTGTGGAGAACTTTCTGTGGAAGTTTAAGAACATTAGTAATATATTTTGTCTACTTCCATGAGAGTTCATCTGTGTTGGTAGTTACATGTTTAAAGTTAAAACTTTTGATCCAACACAAAAATTCTCTCACCTAGAGCTTTTGACCAGTCTCTCTGGTCTTCCTCAGTAGACTGACCCAGTGAAGCTTATCACGTGGCTTCTTTGAAGTGTGACGTCAACACTGGGTCAAAGGTAAATGGTAGACGACGTCGACCCCGTCGCGGTTCAAAGAAGCCACGTGACAAGCTTCGCTGGGTCAGTCTACTGAGGAAGACCAGGGTGACTGGTCGAAAGCTCTAGGTGAGAGAATTTTTGTGTTGGATCAAAAGTTTTAGCTTTAAACATTTTGTCTACTTGAGTACTTAAACGTTCTCTTACGATCATCAGCATGATCTTGTTCTCCTTCATGGCTCCGCAGCAGCCCAGGAACCCCGTTACCATGGTGATGGCTCCGGCGGCGATCATGACGTAACAGGCCGTGTAGAACCACGTCATGTTCAGGTCACCTGACACGAACCTGGACACATCCTGGTCCACACGCAGCCAGATGCCCACTCCCAGCAGCACCGCTCCGGTCACCTGGACATGAACGTACATTTTAGCCTTGTTCATGTGAAGTCACCCAAGGCGCTTTACATGTGGTTTACCCCGAAGCCGGTTTCAAGTGGCTCCATCTGAACGCTCCAAATCACATTGAAAGCGCCTCGATCCCAAACCACTTCTAGAGGTGGTTTCGAATCGGTTTTCCCGCATCGCGATTTGCGTCTGAACGCAATGTGACTTCAATGTGACTCATGGATCACGGGATGATATTTCTTTATTTATATGTAATACCAACTTTTACGTGGCAGCAACTTAAAGAGAAGTAATGGTCAAATAATGTGTCCGTTCTAGGACGAGCTTCACCGCCTCTGGCGGGACCACGTCGGCATTTGGCCGAGATACGCTGGGAGGGGGGCACCAGCAAGCAGGTCGTTGACCTCTGGCATTGATAACACGCCACCTTGCGTGTTTTCATCAAACAACAATAATTGTAGCTCAAGCGAATTGTGATCGAACACGGTTTCAAAGGAATGTGTGGCACGTGGACCAGATGTGAGGAATGTGAGTTACCCGACTCGCGGTTTGGGTGACTTCACATAAACACGGCCTAACATCTGAACTCATCATCATCACCATCATCTGCATGTCAATGTACAGTGTCCAACATTACGGTGGGCCACCAATGTCCTCCATACCATTAACACCTCCGTACTGCCCTCCACATCGCCACACTGTCTTTAACTTCCCTACTGTCACACCCCCATACTATCTTCATAAACGTAAAGAACATAACCGTGGAAGCGATATACGTTCATGTTTTTTTTTTCTTTATTAAAACATTTAGGAGCAAAGTGGACAAGATGACGACACACTCAAGCCGGAGCTTATGTTCATGTCGCCATCTAACATTACAAAAATACAAAAGCAAATGCAAAAACAGACATGCAAAGCTTAATAATAACAGAACAGAATAAATAAGGTTACAATGTGTAAAGTACTCCAGGCAGAACTTACAAAATTGATAGGAAAGAATTACTCAAATCTTTTAGTTTCCTTTATAAATGATTGAACATAAAGTAAAAATTTAAGTTATTTGGATATGATAGTGATACAGAACCTCTAAGGAATAAAT